TTCACAAAAGAATTGCAAAATACATAAACCGATGCAGAGAAAAGTAGTGAAAGCTTCACAGCTACAAAAAATATACCTGTAGCTGGAAAACAGGGGAAAAAAAGAAAAACTGAAAGCAGATATAGTATAAGTGACTTCTGCTAAAAGCAGGGTCAGCACTTTCCACTGGAGACTATTTGATTTACGCTATTTTGTTTCAACTGAAAAACAAAATCTTTCCTTAGCAGATTCTGCTCTACAGAGTCTATTACAGATACTTCTGAGATACCCAGCATCATTTATAAGGGGACACTTACTAGTGCTGAACGTGATCATTTTGCTGAATTTCCCAAAGTTCCAGAAGGAAATAACATGCTATGCAACACAAGGGTGTATCCAGTTAGTTGCTGAAGTCAGGAGTCTGGACAACCCACACAGCCCTGGAGGAAAGGTGTGCTATTGATTAAGATGTTCAGGGTCTCCCCTGAAGAATCCATTGGCTGTTCTGGACCCACATTCCCTACTTAAGAGCCAGGAACACTCCAGGAGGGACCACTCTGCTTTTAGCCTTTACTGATTTCACACAGCTACTCTGAATCTACCCCAGTGTAAATCACACCAGAAAAAAACCCCATCAGGTATTTTAACTGTCACAGCACATGTCACAGCTGAGACAGCCACAATACACAGAGTATCCCCATACAATTTCAGAAGGCTGCAAGCATTTACTCACACAAATTAACACCATACCATATCAGAAGGCTTCAGACACCTGCCCAGAGTAACATCAGGTCACTTCAGAAAGCTGCAAGCATCTGTCCTTCTTGTTCTTCAGCCCAGCCTTTCATACCCCCATGTTAATGCAGTGCAGCTGTGAGCCCTCTGTTCCCTTTGGTGGCTGCTCAGTGCCCCTGGGCACTCCATGGCTCATTGTGTCAGTGCTGCTCACCTGCTGCTCACAGCTGAGCCCACTGGGGATGAGGCTGGGCCCGGCCCACTCCCAATCACCACACCCTGTGTACCTACATTGACTGCCCCTATTTATTCTGATGGGATACAGCGGCCTTTTTTTCCTTTTTTTTTTTTTTTTGAGGGTAGAACAATAAAGCACTAAACATTAGGTCCCAGTGGTCACTGCAGATACACATAACTAAGTATCACCACTTGCAATTTCTTTTTGTGTTATGTAGAACAAAGTAACTGTCAACCAAACCAAGCAAGTAAACCAAACCTGATGCATATGAACACACACTTTTGAAACAGGACAGCGCAGTTTGGAAACCTTCACAACATTAACTACCCTCTGCATGTAGAAAGCTACACTGATCCGTGCTTCAGAGCAGCTTCTGCACCTGGAGTAGTGGAGAACTTCAGGAGGGTGAACTGGTCTCATTTTGCTCAGTTTTGGGCTTATCTCACTGCCTCTCCAGTAATAAAGTAAATTGCCTGTAGATGGTGTGGGAAGACATACTATACATACTTTGACTGACAAAAGTCATCTATCCATAAAATCCATCACAAGCAGTTTGAACTACATACCCTGAAAAAAAAGCAGGATTTCTTCCAAATCACACACAATTTTATATCCACATCTGTAATCTATATGTTGTTATAAAAACTGGACAGAACAGGTGCTTTTACACTGAAACAGGAAAATTCATGCCTGCAGGAAACATCTTGCTAACTTGGATAAGCTTCACCAAATTGTTTCAACCAGGAAGATGCACAAAACAGAAATCATCATTTCCAAAACAAAACATTTGACTTCAACTGAAGCTCAGTAATTTTTTTTTTAGGTCTGAAAACTATTTTAAAAAGCTTTTATTTTTAATTCTCACATTTTCTGGTTGATCCCAATTTAATCTTTAAAACCTTTTTGGAACTACATCTGAAATGAAAAATTAGTAAGTCACATAGCTCCCATAATTTTGATCATGATATTCTGGGATACACAGTGGGATGCACAGAACAGTGGGATAATGGTTCTATAGAGGAAGTAGCTCTGAGCTGGCCAAGGCATTCAATATAAATATATAAAAGCTACCATTAGTCATGAGAATCACTCTGCTGACATGGCTGAAATAGGAAAGAAATAGGATTAGCTGGCACATGATGATCGTGTACCTTTTTTCTCTTTAGCCCATTTTCAATTCATCAAGAAGTCATAAGCAAATAGGCACAAAAAGCAAATTTTTAAAAAAGAAATCCAGAGTTGGATAGTAGGTATTGTGCAGAATGTTTGCTCATTCAGCACTTCCTTAGGTTCAAGTGCTTTTCATGTATTCCACAACAGTAGTGAAGCCACTGGAGATGCTACCTGACCACTGCACAAACACTTCAGAGAAAAATGGGTGAGTACATTAAACTTGCTAGATAATTTAGAATCCCCCTAACAGTTTTGAGTCAATCCAGGGTTAGAGTTGGGGTCAGTCCTTTGCAAATCAATAGACACTAATTAGCTCTCATCTAACTGCTGGGAAAAAAAAGAATGCACGAACTTGAGTTTTCTGACCAGCAGACTTCATTAGAATTCAAACTTGGTGACACAAGTGGTAAAGTCTAAGAAGACAAAACTCTATAACTGGTAAAAATCAGTGTTTCACCATGCTCTCCTGTAGAAAGGCTACAAAAGTTCATCACCTGAAAAAACTTTCCCATTACTACTTTTCCCCAGACCATCTTCTCCCTTGCAGCTCCCCCTCAGCAGAAAAACACAAATTACAACAACAACAACCACCAAAAAGTTTTAGGGAATTTAGCATGCACAACAGAGTACAAAACAAATCAAGATGTGTGTCATGATGCAGCAACCCTGTGATCCACAAGACCTGATCCATGTTCACTAAGTGGGCTGCAGCACCCATATCAGACTAAGATCTCTGAAATGGAAATGAGACAAAGAAATCACGGGAGGCAGCAACCCCTGAAACGCACTGCTGCACATCTCTTGGAAAAGCCAGCAGCTGTGAGATGCTGATTACAGCACACCTCACTGGAGAAATCAACAGACAGCAGCACTTCTAGCAAAGACAGGTCTTTCTCCCATCACTCAAGTGAGCAGTCAGAGTGTGGGGTCAGGTAGGCAAGAACTGGGCATTTGCTGTGCTGCAGTAGCATGGACCATATTTATTATAAAGAACTAAAGGACAGAATCTTTCCAGTATCAAATATCTTTTCTCTCCAACAGCTTTGCTTATTTCAGGTAAAGAGCTGAAAACTCCTCCTTAGCCAAGTGATAGATTGGCTTGCTGTACAGCTGCGACACATGTTCTCCCAGCTCCATCAGTAGGAATGAACATCTTCTTACAGCAAGGACAGAAAATTTGTAATTGCCAATTTCAATTCATCTTTCAACAGGATCAAAAGTAGGCTGGATTTTGGTGGGGATTTTATTCCTTCTTGGTTTTTTTTTTTTTTTTTTTTTTTTTTGGTTATGTTGGTTGTTTTTTGGTTTTGGGTTTGTCTTTTTTAGGAAGTGGAAAAAGTGATCAATAAATCGAAGAAGGTGATGTTAGCCTAAGCTCTCCAAGTTTTTACTGGAAACAGACTTGCAGTACCTCTGAGCCAGAGGTAAATTTTACTACCCTTGTATAAAAGACAGCAAAACCGTGCCATTAAATGACAATTTAACTTACTCCAAATCATGCTATGAGCCACAGAGGATTTCAGCATTTCCCAAGGTCAGTCCCTTTACCAGATAGACCAGGCTCAAATGCTTGATGCTTGCATGTGGCAAAACTACCCATGGTGAAATCAGCAAGCACCATTACACACATCAGCCCAGGAGAAAGACGTGTGAAAATAATGAAGTATACACAAAATGAGTGACTATGTACAGACTATATACCATCAGACATTAGCTATCTCTTGTCCAGACAGCTGCATATAATTTTAAAGACAGTCCTTTTACTAAAAAACTCTCAAGCTATTGAAGAACCCATACGGCCAGACATATTTTTTAAATTCTCGACCAGAATTTCAAACATTACACTTGAATAAGCTCTAGCAAATATCAGCCCAACACAAGGGCAGGACTAAGCATTCGAAGCCAATCACTTAAGTTATAAGTGGACTGAAAGCAAACATGTAAATTGCACTTGAAACAAACAAATCAAAAAAACTTTCAGCACATCTGAAACATCCAAACAGTCTGGCAAAATAATTACATACAAGTGACCAGATAGGTCACTCCATTCCAGCAGAAGAGTGCTCACCTGCACTGTTATCCATTCCAGGAAAGCAATTCACCCTTCCTACAAGTGCCTGGGCAAGTTATCCACAGCACTGTGTCTCTGCAGATTGATGCTCAGCATTAAGGGCTCCTGTGCCTCCTCTGTGGTGTTTGTGTCAGGGTTGCACATTGCCACTTGCTATTTCAGAAACAGTTAAGATGATAACACAGATCCAGAGCCTCAGACACAATGGCAAGGCTATGCAGGAATGACTGCTCAGTGGATTCACTGACATAACTCGTTCCTACATTCACTCTTTCTCTTCACATAGAAACCCTATCTCACCTGTTTCTCTCTTGCTCTGTGCATACACAATAGTATCACCACTAACACATCTTTGTGACACCAACTGAAAGGGTACTCACTGCCTTTGAATATTTCACACATTGCTGTGCACTAATAAAATGAACTCTGCATTTTGTATCTGCTGATATAGAAATATCTCCAAAGTTCCCACCAGAGCCAGGCTGAAGTGTGTCCTGTGAGGCTGTGTGGGAGTTATCAGTGTCCAGCTGCGATGACTGCAAGCAGCAGAGCAGGAGTGTCTACCCTGGAGTCCCCATCAGACAGCTGCACATGAAAACTCAAAGATTATTTCAAATTTGAAGTTTCAAAGGCATCTGATATTCTGAAGATCAACAGTAATATAAAGCAGGTGATACAACAGAGGGAAGCCTCTGGCTTATGCATATTTAGAAGAAAAGAATCTCCATGGGTGAAATTTGTAAATTGCTTCACTGCAGTGATCATCACAGCTTCACAGAAAGTGGTTTTATCAAGATCAATAATTTCTAAATTTTTTGCTTTAGATCACCATGTTGTTCCATTGGAAGTACAAGCCTTCATATAGCAAACCTCTTGACAATAGGTACAGAGTTTTTAGGCTGCCTTAAGAGTTTCCTTAGAAAAGGGGTGATGGCCTTCCAGTAATCTCTGCTCTCCTGCAGCACAGAAAGTACTGCTCTCAGGCAGTAACTTAAATGCCCTAAACCAATTCACCTAACACCTTTCTCACAATAAATGAACACAGGTTTTCATTTATATGGGTTGGCTTGGTTTGAAATGAATGATGAAAACACACTGTTGCTGTTTCAAAAATAACATTGTAAAACATTTTGAGGATGCCGAACTAAATCAAAATTAGCATTCTAAAACTAGTAATGACAAAATATGTACTTTAAATGGAAAATGTTAAATCAATGGTTTGTGACAATAAAGAAACGCTGAAAATACATCAGCTCTCTCATTTCACACCTTCTTGCATAACAGTCCTACACTGGCAGTAGGATGGCCTCCCACCTCCCAGACACTGAACACAGTGAACCCAGAGGAAAGAAACCCACTGTTTTCTGCAGCTCTTGGGCAAGCTCCCAAATCAGCCTTCAACAAAACTGTGGGGCTTTTTTCGTTGTTGTTAAAAGCTTCTGTCACAGGCTAGTTTCCCATCATGGCATCTCCATTTCCTCCCAGAGATAAACTACAGCTGTTATATATTTCATGGGAAGGGTAGTTAATCAGTAGCTCTCCAATCTGCCCTAATTGCCCCAGGGTAGTTAATCAGTAGCCCTCCAACCTGCCCTAACAGCACCATGGGTCCTCCAGGCCCAGTGCTATATAGGAAAACTGAACAATTTCCTATCTGCATCTGCACAGAATCTTTCCAAAATGAAACATGTAAATGGCACTCTTTACCATGCTTTACTCTTCATTCATTTGGCAAACTCAGAGTTTCTCAAGTAAGTGTCCATCCATGTAAGGTATTTTTCCCCTCTCAACTGTGTGAATTAAACGGCATTCTAACATCTAAACAGTACATCAATGTAATGTATGCAGCAAAGGAGAGAAAGCTTATTCTGAAATTATTTTAAGAAATAATAAATAAATAGTTTGAAAATGGTATAGTTCCTTCTGCTAACACTGACATCACATTAAGTTTAATGACAAATCATCTGTTCTGCCATGAAATGGAAACAAATGATAGCTGGAACACACCTTTCACGCTTCAACCTAGACCAAATAATGCAAAAGCTTTGACCCCTAAACTGAAGCCAGCTGCTTTTGGTGGTCATGCAGCAGTTAACCACGATACTTGAGCGCATTTTGCAGCATGAATGACATTTTCAGTGGTCTGTAATGAGCAGACTTGTGTAGAAAGCACATTTCCAGGTGTTTTACCACAGAACACTGGAGAAACCAGAGTATATTCCATATTGGGAGAGTTCAGGCATCTCCCCTGTGCTCGCTGCTCCTGCAAAACCACCAGTACCCAGCCCAAACTTGGCAATGCTTCCAGCAACACATGCTCATGCTTTTGGCAGCAGGGAGCTGACCACTTGCAGCATCAGTGTCCTCTGCCAGCTGGCCAAAGAGCACACAGATGCAAGGGAAGCAAATTATCTGCCCACTGGCACAAAGAAATGCTGAACAGCACCTAAAGAAAGCGTGGGCCCGTGCACGTGCGCGGGAGTGCGAGTGAGGGTGCGTGTGAGCACACACACCCCCACACCTGCGCCTTGGAGAGGGAGCAGCTCAGTTAAACTGCAAACTGTCTGCTTCTTGTCCTGAGGTATCATTTTCTGCAACACTCTCACAACAATGAACATGCACTTTTCCCTTTAAAATCCTCCAAGTTGAATTTTTAGCATTAAACACAAGAACTGCAAGGATGCTAAAGTAAATTTTTGTAAGTCTGGAATCAGACCCCTTCAAGAAAGTGCCAATACAACCACCTACAGGATTTTAGCAGCCTAAGGTTAGCATGTCTTTGCATCTTCCCTCTTTTTTTTTGGTCTCTTGAAAAATGAATGCCCATGTAAAAAAACCCCACAACACATCTATATTTGGTAAAATACAAAAAGCTTTCTGGATTTAGAAGATACATAAGAAGAAAACTCAGAAAAAATAATGGGACAGGAATTTGCAGCTGATAGGTTTAGATTTAGCTGAGAAATGGAATCTATCTGTAGATTAATTAGATTCTACAATCACAGCCCCTTTTCATCTGCACACATCCCACCACCTTCATTACATGATCAACAGATTTTAATGAAAACTACACTTTTCATTAAAAAATGCTTTGACAAATTCAAGGGAGACTATACGTAAGGTTTAGTTTACTTTTCTAAATATTTCTTGAAGATTGTACATAAGGCAAGTGCACATTTGTTGGCTGTAAAGGTGTACAACAGCAATTTTTTGCAATGACAGTGCAGAGAGGGAATATGAGATCTGTGTGCTAATGAGCTGACACTGCAGAGGCTGGAGCAGTGTTAGTATAGTGCACTACAAGTGCAGAGCAGAACGACAGACGTGGGTTATTTCTAGGGAATGTGATCTACAGAACCATACACACAATTCAACATGAACACGAACATCCTTCATCAGATTATGAGAAATGCATGGGAGATATTGCTTCAGTGACAAATTTATATATTTAAGTTCTCATATTCATATTATTCTGAAAAAGCTAGCTCACTCCCTACACGAGCATTTTTAAAGAAAATATAACCTGATTTTGATTTTATAAATTCATAGGTCAAGTTAGCTTGCTTTCTGTTTCTACTGATAGCAAAAAAAGCTGCATATTTTAAGAAATGTAATCATTTCCCTAGAGCCAACTGATAAACTTCAATTCACCTTTAAATACACTGGAATTTTCATCTGTGTTTGCATTTGTTCTCTGTTAAGATATCATACAGCTAAATAAATAAGTGGGCAGATAAATACAGAACGGATAAATACTGTATGAATGTGTGTAAATTAAATATACAGAGAGAGGCTTGGTGCTAGCAGCGAAGCAAGGAATACATGTACATAAATCAGATTATGCATCATTTAACTGAAAAAAGAATGAGAGGGAGGTGCTTAGGGCAGGAATTTTCTTCTGCTTCTAAACAAGTTTGTTCCCAGGTTGGGATATTGCCAAATCTGCCGTAGCAGAGGTGGGCCATTTTTCTCAGGCTCATGAGAATACTTCAGAAGAGGATTTTTTCCCCCTCTGGAATGCACCAGATTGCATCAAGCAGGATGTGCAGCTGCACAGTAAGAACCCAAGTCTTTCTGAGCAGAGCCCCCCCCAGTCCCTGCACACAGGAACACTTACTATAGTCACGCTCATACAAATCTATGCAAAAGAGAATGAAAAGTATTATTTTATGGATGCTGCCTAGTACAGGCACTAGGCTCAGGCTACACATGCTCCTTTCTTCAATTTCCTCTCAGTTCCTGTACCTATCCCACCAGAGTCAGCCACAGCCTCCCTCCCCAGTGAAGGCAGAGTCACTGCAGGTTTCTCTCCTATGGAGCCCTGCCAATTGCAAATATTGATCAAACGGCTGTGTGACAGCACTGGAGACAATATATGCTTATCTCCAAGTGAGGTAAAAATGCTGTGGAAAGAATTCCTGCATGGATATGGCAGCACACTGAAATTTTCTGCCACTCCCAGAGGAAATGAGGATATAGTTAAAGGCTGGAATTTTGGTCAGGTAGTGTGAGGAGCTATTAATTCATCCTAATGCATTGATACACATAAGTGTTCTGACTTTCAAAGGTAACTGGTACCAGATTCGAAAGAATAACTGTTCTGATGGGGTTTTTTATATTTTGAGCTACTGAAGTCCGTGAGTGGTGACTTGGACTCTCCATATTCTTTTCTTATCAACAGTATTATGAGATGGTTGACACAGTACAGACAAGGTCACCTTTTCATTTTCTTTCGTCTGTTTCTTTTTTCACATCTTCTGCTTTTAAATAGGTTACTGTAGGTACATCTTCTTTGGTCTACAGTTTCTCCAGAGATTTTAGTTTTCCCAATTTTACTACACTGGTAATACGGGTGTTGGAACATGCAGCCCTGTATTACAGAAAACCATCCCACTTTACTAAGATTGCCACAGTTTTTAATAAGCATTGACAAAAATCATTAGATGTCAGAAGATGAGCAGAACACTGACTGCCCTAAACAAGTGCGTGTATCACTTCTGTTGGTGGGAGAAGAGCTGGTAACAACTTTTAAAAAACAATTAATAATTAGTCACCCAAGCAGTTCAATGTATTTAGTTTAAATCCATATAATTGATATTTAGGAAACTGTGCTTGAGATGCAGCCTCTTGAAGGGATTACACTGATTAAGGATTAATAGTCTGATGTTTGTTGTAAGAGCTGTTGAAGCTGGATAGGATTAGTAAAATAAGATGCAAAGTAGAGACACGCTTTTATTTACCATTTTTTCCCACTTTACCAAGTATTTTTATTGTATATTACATAATTAACCCTTCTGCAGAAGTTTTAAAGGTCCTACTTCAAAGTCCTTTGGAGAGTGTAACACTGCACTACCAAGAAGCAGTCACATGGGGGATATATTAGAATATCAATCCAAAATTTGTCCAAATGTTTCCTTACTGTATATTTTTTAACCACCAACTTTCTCAGAATATACAGTGGGACAGGAAAGTAAGAACTATCCTATCTCCTGCAAATAAAAAATAAATAAGTTATTCAAAACACAGAATTATTTTAAAGCAAAAAAGACTAGTTTTCTGTACTCCAGTACTTCATTATTTCAGTACAATGCTTTCTCTTTGACCATTTTACACTGTGAGTATAAACCTGCAAACTGTGAGAGGAAACCTGTTCATAATGTGAAGTCAGTACATTGCATTCAGTGGTCCATTAGATCATGTGCAGACATATATCTCCACATTGCAAAGTGCATTAGTTACCCTGGAAAAGGACTCCTTTCATTCTCAAAGATTTATAATAAAACTTGTACAGAATCAAATTTGGATACATCAGTAAAACAAATATCCAGGAACTACTATTGGTAAAGGAATGCTTTTTAAAATGCAGAACACGCACAAGTCTTTCTGACAGAGATTTTGCATTTAAATACCACATTTAAATACTCAAAGTTCTATTTTGCATCTTCTGTAATAAAAGCTCAAATTCTACGAGTGCACTGCTTGTGCAGAGCTATTTCTCCTAGCGTCTAAGTGTTCTGATTCCATTTTCTCTCCCCTCAGCTCTAACAGTATGTGTCAGTTTACAGTCTCCTCAGCTATTCACAGGACTCTCAC